CAAATTTGACCTTTTGACCTTTACCTTGGAGTTTGTTGTCCCATTTTACACAAAAATTCCAAATTTTTACTTTGGCCGTAACTTTTAAAGGGTAGATACTAGTACGCTCATACTTCACATATGTATTTTTTTGGCATGACCTTTCATTGGATACTAAAAACTTTGACCTTTTGACCTTGACCTTGGAGATCTCCGTACTTATGAAAAAAACTTTAACCTTGGCCATAACTTTTGAACGATTAGGGCTAGGGTTTTCATACTTCACATATGTAATCCTTGTTACATTAAACTTTTCTTAAGAAACCATAAACTTTCACCCTTTGACCTTTGAGTTTGACCTACCTCTCAAAAACTTATCCTAAGCCATTACTTTTGAACAAGTGGTGCTAGGGCTTTCCTATTTTGCAATTGTATTTCTCGTTTGGGTACCAATATATTTAAATTGCATTTAAGAAAAGTTTAATCTTCGCTATGTTGCCATACAGGGGCATAGCTGTTTCACGAACACATCGTTTTATACATAAGAGGAGTTGCGGATATGAGATGGAAACCCCAAAGCGTAACAAACGGACGGACGGACATCCCGCGATCAATATATACCCTCCCGCTTTTCAAGCGGAAGATATAATAATATATAATACTGCTGATTTTTCTGTCAGTACGATGATTTCCACCATCGAAAAACAGTGTTTACCTTACCCTAAAGGCTCGATAAATCTTTTACTCCTTTAGATTCTGAATCATCGCATTGACCTTAAGATATACATGTAGCTATAATTGTATAATGTTATGAGATCAACATATCACCAGTTTATTCCCAATCGGCTCAGGTGAGCATTTTGGCCAATATGCTTCTTTATCTAATTTTTTTGCCCTCTAAATATTTCAGCTTTAATCCACAGGGAGTCATTTTTCTACGGGGGTCATTTTTCTTCACGTGGGTTCTGCAAATTTTTAGGGTTGGTGACACTTTTTCTCCGGGCAAAAGGTCATTTTTCGACGTCGAATAATGACCGGGGGTCATTTTTCGCTGTCGAAAAATGACCCCTGGTCATTATTCGATGGGGGTCCTTATTCGTCTTTACACCGGCAACAACTTATATAAATGTACGACAATATGTGCTATGAAAGTATAGATGCACATTGTCGCTGGTGACTACAGGTCTGTTGGATTTAAAACAATAAAGTTCTTTTGCAAAATTTTAACTGCGGACAACGATGCGCTAATTTGTGAACACCGCTTATTCATCTATGATACAATATTTACATCTACTGAACAATTTCTCTTTTATTTCTTAAGAAAAACCATTGCCGGAAATCATTTCATGAACAACACTAGGCATACCACCTGTACAGATTTCTTGATCAGCGGCTTTTCCATAAATTCCATAAATGAAACGTACTAAGACGCACATACATGTATTAATGATAAAATTATTAATTAATCTTTTTAAATCGATTATGTATTTTTAATTTTCTGCTATAGCTGCGACATTCATTCCCATAACAACCAAAGAAAGCTTTTTATTGTTCAAATGATCGGCGCGGACGTACATGTACGTAGCGCAATTCATGGCTACGTAATAAACTTCATACCAAGTGATTGCGCTAAATTTCAAATACGAGCGTACTAGTACAAATGTACGTTAATTTATGTACAGTTCTTAAAAATAAAGAATACATTATTGGCCAACTCAATTTTATGTTTCTTTTTCATGTCGTCTTGCGTCAAGTGGATTTCTATGAAAAATTAATTTAAGAATCTCAAAATGTTATTTCAAAAATAGAACTCTTGCATGTTCATCAACAAAGGTCCATTCTCTCTCTTCTTAAATGCGTATAAGCAGAGAATATTTGTGAACAAAAATGTCAAGAGATATTGGTATAATGATTAAATATTCTATTAGAAATTACTTTGTGAAGAAGAATAAGTTTTTTAAAAACTTTCTGTATTGTTAAAATACAGACACAATACAAACATCGCTCACATATAACTCTACTCCACTCGGAATTATACTTTACACCTACTAAACAAACTTTATCAAACAACATAACCGTGATATACCAGAGTAGATCATAAGGTACTCTAAATACAATGATATGAGTCGACATGTGATCGGGGCGTCACAATTTATCTTTCTAGATTGAAAATGGCCGCTTTTTCGGAGGGTGGTACCATTTTATGTGATCTATTGAAATGCTCGATATGTTTGGAAGTTTACAAGAAGCCAAAATGTTTACCGTGTTTGCATTCATTTTGTGAAACCTGTTTAGAGGCTTATGTAAATGGTGACAATGAAGATAAAACTTCAAACAGTGAAAATTTCAAAACAAAAGTAGGTGCATCATCAGAACAAATTCATGAAGATATTATCACTTCAGAGCAATCTAAAATTCATTGTCCCAATTGCAGAAGGGTGTTTATGATTGAAAATAGCTCGTCAAAAACTACATGGCTGAAAAGTTTACCGGACAATTTCTTCATAGCAAACTTGATAGACAGGCATTCAATTCAAACTGAAAGTAAAACTTGTGATCCGTGTGCATCTGACGGAAAACAAGAGCCAGCGTCAACTTGGTGTGTAAACTGCACTGAAGCGCTGTGCAAGCAATGTAAAAACGATCACCATAAATTCAAATCACTCCGCGACCATTCTCTTCTTGATCTGCACTTGGTCAAGACCAGGAAAAACGCGCCATTAAATGGATTTATTCCATGTCCAGACCATTCATCTTCACAAGCACAAGTGTTTTGTGTTGATCATCATGCAGCATGCTGCACTTTATGCGCTACTATTCGTCACAGAAAGTGTTCCGATATATTAACATTAGAAGAAGCTGCAAAAGATGTTAAAAATGAAAAGGTTACGCAAGAATTATAAGTGCAAAATTAGATGAATTGGCCGAAGATATACGAATGAAGATTTCCAGCAGAAAAAAGCGTCAACAAAAATTGCAGACATCGAAAGAATCTATAGTACAGGAGGTAGACACATTGACAGATGGAATGATCAGTCATCTGGAAACCCTGAAAACTTCATTTAAACAGGGACTTCAAAAATATGAACAAAATGTGACTGAAACTCTTGAGAGTGAAATTTCAAAACTTTCCAATCTCTTATCAAGAGTCATGTATCAAAAACAATTACTAACTGCTTCAGTTGAAAAAGGGTCAAATGAAGAATGCTTAGTAGAAAGAGAAAACATATTGAAATCAGAAGGAGAAATAAAAAATGAGTGTAGTGTATTCATTGCAGAAAAATCTACTGGAAAACTATCATTCCATGCAGATTCTAGCATTTTGAACTTGAAGTCTAAATTAACAACAATGGGGCATTATGTTGAAGAGAAAATGTATTGCTTTAGAAAGGGAAAGGTTAATTAACTTCATAAAGAAGACGTCTGTGGTGGTATCTGTAATGCTGTCTTCAGTACATGCAGTAGTCAAGGTAATATCGTAATAACTGATTACAACAAAAACAGTCTTCATTTGTGATTTTTCTTTGAAATGCAAATCTACAGTGTCGGTATTTGGAAATCCATGGGATATAACGATAAGTAAAGATGATCGTATGTATGTTTCCTTACCTAATGAGATGGAAATTATTGAGGTGGATATAGAAACCAGCACTGTCAGAAAAATATTTTCAACATCAATTGAATGTTGGGGGTTGTACTGGATGAATGATAATTTCTTCATCACTAGTGGCAACATTATTCAAAGATATTCTAGTGTCGGCTTGAAAACAGACGAAGTACAGACGTCCAGCACCTGGATGATATCTGGAAGACAAGATTCGGAGAGTATTCTGTATTCTAAAAATGATGAACTGATGGAAATCTCGGTGAGTTCTAAGGAAGAGAAGAAGTTATTTAAACGATCCGGTTCAGAACTACGCGGCATTAGTACGGACTTTGATGGCAATGTATACACAGTTGGGAGGGATAGCTACAAACTTTACCAGTTATCTGAAGATGGAAAATTAAATCGAGAGGTTAACAGACCTTCGCTGTTTTTGTCAAGTACTTCTTATAATAAATTTTGTTTTGAGGATTTTAAGAAATAGATTCAAGTTCCATTATCTGTTTGAATATTAAAAAAACGTGGATAACTCCAATTACTGATATTTTTTAAAGAAATGGTAAGTCATTTGTACACGCTGTCGTTTTCACTCATTTTTCAAAATATAGGGTGATCTTTGAGTACTAAGCTTTTTTACTGTCAAACGTTTCTTTAAAAAGGTGTAAACTACCCCTGATGTGATGTCTATGAAGTTTGCTATGTGTCTTAAAGTCAATCCTACATCATCAAGTATTATTTGTTGAAATTTGGCAAACAGTACATAAGTAGTTATAATTTTTTGTTGGCAAGGACGGTACCCATTTTTGATGCCCACTATATAATTTTTAACATTGAAATCCACCTGCTCACGTGTCTATAAAACAGGCATTAGTTGCTGTAAATGTCACATATTTCAGTGAATATTTCTTTGGGATTTTTAACAAGTTTTACAGCAGCTTTGATAAAGCTTTTATTTCCACTCTAGTTTACCGATTCTTTACCATTCATTTATAATGCAGTGTCTCGAAAAGCCCTTGTTTCCCAGCTCCTCACAATGAAACTATGTGATGAAATGTGGTCACATAAACTGTTATAAATTCATTAAAGATTTAGTTATGAGAGAAAGTCAAGTTTAATGTCATATGATATCTCTATGGTATGTCATACAGTTCAGGACATTATTCATTGAACAACCCTCGTAAATCAAGAAACAACACACTTTTTACAATGGGGGACACTGTAGCTCTCTGTTCAGTCAAAATATTTTTTTCGTGGATCTACAGTTCCACAGCTAGTTAAAGTTGTGATAAAAGAATCTCCCATGGCTTAATGTTGGATTTCATTTTTCTCAAACTCGTGTTTTCTGCCTCTGCAGAATGATCGGATAAAGCTGTTAACAGAATCAACGAATACATTATTAATTAATTTATTTAAAAATTTATTTTTCTCTTGAAACATAATTCAGAGAACATTTCATAACATCTTCTTATTAAATAACATTATAAACAAAACAAGCATTATTTTGTATTCCCTACACATAACAAGTATTGGCAGATGTAGAAATGATAGATCTCGATACATATTTGAACATTTGGTTTTAAGCATTGCACAATCATTGAAGATGACTTTTTTTAAACCTGGGCTGTTCATGCATAAAAATAAAATAACATTGATTATATCCCATGTTAAATCAAACATATTAAAGAGAAATCCATCTAAAATCCCACCATTTTCACCTCAATCCCTTTTTAGCAGCTTGTAATATATGGTTCTCAAGCTTGTCTGTCAAAAAATAAAAATAAAAAAACTAAAGAAAAATGAAGAAAAGTAATTCTTTTTTATACCACATGTATTTTTTACCATTTCATGTAAGCATGTTAAGTAGTGATACTTAAAAAAATACATTCTTTAAGTTAGAATTTCTGGAACTTCATTGATTAAAAATGTACTAGACTGTCCTATTGTACTGGAATATGGATTTTACCTGTACCTACGAGTATAATACATTTTAAAGGACACTAAAATAAGAGAGTACTTACATATCTTATGCTTTCCTTTGATGGGGAATTTCACAACCAGTTCTTGAGGGTTTTCACAAATGAACACAAAAGGAGATACTGATTCACCATCTGGAAACTACAGTGAAAAATCATTTGTCAACCGAGATCATAATACAGTAAAACTCACTTATAACAATGTCATTGGCACCTATGAAATTAGTTCAAATTATTTCGCTATATCTGTAATTCGTTATATCCGTATAAGATATTCATTAAATTTATATAGCTGGGGATCCAAGATAACTTTGCTATATCTGTAAATTCGCAATATCTGTGTTCGTACTAAGCACGTTTTACTGTGTACATGTACATCACTTATTTTTAAAATATATCTTCATATCAATGTACAAGATCTCAAGCTTTGCCGAGCTCTGAATCTTTGAACAAACTTTAAGGAATATTTTTTTATTGCACTTATCAATGTCCAAATATTTATAAAATTAAAATTGAACATTGCAGTACTGCTCTACAAATTTTGAGTTTAACTTCATGATTAATAACATCTTACAAAACAATCGTATGAAACATAATCTTTATAACCCTAATTGGTCCTCACCTTTTCCCTGTATTGATCTTGTGGTAGACAGTCCATTAAATCCACACATCCTAATAAACAACCCACTGGGTAGTGTGTGGGACACTGGAGATTGGGATCTGAAACACAGAGTTCATATTTTGTATACAATGTACATGTAGTTAAGCTTGGACTTTCAGTAAAGCATGGCATTCTCAACATTAAACAATTAGCTTCTGAAATTCGCACAACTTTCCTTCACTGTTGAAATATACATGGGATAGAAATTCGGCCAAATGCTAACTAGTGTAGCAAATAGCCGATTAAAAGTTCTTGCACCGCACAGTCGCGGGGTTTAAGTCTTCTCACTGCTGTCAGCAACAATTAAAGTCCCTGATGCTATTAAGTTCTTCACCAATGAGAATCTATTTGCCATTTTACAGACACTAATTACATTCACTCAGAATGCCACGCCTTACTGAAAGTCCAAGCTTACCTGAGAACTGTTCTATCTCCTTTTGCCATTTTTTTGTTTTTTGGAATAAAAGAACATTTTTTTTTTCCTTCTGAAATTTACCTCCATAGTTCTTGAAATTTTGCTTTAAAAAAACATCTTTTTTCTTCTTTTTTGTAACTCATACAATAATCTAAAGAATCTTACAATAAATTTCTTGTAATAACCATACTAACTCAAATATTAGCACTTTGTGATGAGCAAGTAGAAAGTAATTTTACTGAATACTAGTATTCTCTTTTTCATATGGTAATATAAACACGAATTGGACCTTTATACAGGTATTTAAAAGACTCACCTTTATACAGGTATCTATAAGACTCACCTTTATACAGGTATCTGTAGGTCTGCTCCACATCAGCCACTTCCTGCGGTGATGGAGCCTTGGCGGTGGCTGCTATCCACAGTCTACCACGGTGGGCCGTGTACCACGTTCTACCCTCATGACTGATAACAAAAATAGATTAACTTTGTTGATCTGGTACAGTGTATTGATATTTTTTTGTATAACAAAGAGTCTGTACCATACAGTGTCCTTTGGATTGGCATGAAATGACTAAATGAATCATTTTAATACTATTAAATTTTGTCAAGTATATTAATTTTCCTCTTCGAAGTCTAATGCATTTATGGTCAACTATTGTTACCTTGAACTGGATGAAAGCTACAAAAAACTTCTTGATCAACAAGGATTCAAAATAATGAAGTTCAACTACAGGGTATATATACCGTAATTAGGGGAATACAATACGCACTTTTTTTCTAAAATAAATTTCTGTGAGAAAGGGATGCGTATTTTACATCACAATGGGATTTTAACAAGTTTTTCTTTCAGGTGAAACACGGCTATCATACGTACATACTGTAGTATTACCTAGAGATATATGCAATTTCTTTTGTTAATTGCCATATTTTAAACTTCGGAAAGTTATTGTTGGAAGGTATGCTTCTTAAAAATGTCACTTTCATAATCTTTTTATGCCCAAATAACATGAAAAAGTAAGTTAAAAGTAATTTGAGCTGCATGTTGATTGTCTCCGAGCAGGCCGCCATTACCGATGTTATTTTTAGACGTTCACTCATAGCTATGTCACGTGCTTCCGGAATGATAGTGCACATGCACCTTATCTGCCAGACAAAGTAATAAATCTTTTTTTAATGAAATACAATAAAATAAATATTAATTTTAGGTTTGAAATAACTCAGTGATAATCTGCAACAATATTAACACCCCTCCATACGTCCCAACGAAAGGAAGCCAATGTTGTGACACACGTGCGCTGGTCAAATGATAATTACCTATCAACACCCCTCGGGGCAATTAATTGTCTACCGACTCCAAAGCAATGTTTTTACAGTTAGAGCACTGATTATTTACTGCCATGTTAATTGCTGTGATTATTTTCTTTGTTAAAATTGGGGGTCGGTTTATGACCTTTCGTATGTGTGAGCATGGTGAGCATGTGTTGATTACGGCACTTAAACAATTAAACACTTGTTAATTGTAATTTTACCTTATCTTATACTTATCGGCTTCTTGTTTAAATCATTGAGAGTTGAGAAATGAAATATAAATTATGCTAAAACTTTTAATAAAAGTGGTATCATTTAGAAAATAAGATATCCGCGAAGATTAAGAAGAGGAAAATCGTAGTCTTCTTAAAGAAATAAATACTTTGATGTTTCAATTTCGTTTCCTGTTAAAATATTGTAAGATAATTTTAAGCATGATTATCTAGAACCAAAATTAAACATGACAACTGATAAAACTTTTGACAATATCTCTTGCTTTGTTGAAATAAAATTATTTCATCTAAGAATATGGCGACGCATAATTTCAAAATCACCGTAACTATTCTTTTAAAAAATCTGTTAATACTTTTACGCAACATTATCTTGTGCTTTGTTGAAATAAATGAATAAATAATTTTCTCCAGATTGCCGCGATACGGAATGTCAGGATTAAGAGAAAGTTATAAAGTGTGTATCTTAAAAAAAGTGTGTTCAGTAAATTTTTGACACCTAATCCTCGCGCCGATTTTTGTAACAAATTACCGTGATTTTCATAGTTCAGAACATCGCTTGGTAAATTTTTCTGTTGCGTATAATACATCCGAACTGCGTTTTTTCCCCCGTTTCAGACTCAAAAAGGGGGGTGCGTATTTTACATCAATGCGTATTATACTCGGCCAAATACGGTAAATATTGTTTATAATGATATAGACTGGTGGTTACCATTTGATGCCTTTGACCAGCAGTGATATTGTATATATAAATATTGTTTATAATGATATAGACTGGTGGTTACCATTTGATGCCTTTGACCAGCAGTGATATTGTATATATAAATATTGTTTATAATGATATAGACTGGTGGTTACCATTTGATGCCCTTGACTAGCAGTGATATTTTTTATAATGGTATAGACTGGTGGTTACCATTTGATGCCCTTGACCAGCAGTGAGGCCCAGGGTTGGTGCATGCTCAGACACACGCCCTCGTCGGACATCTCCTGTAACTCCCTGTCCTGCAGTCTGAGCCCCTCCCTCCTTAAATCCCCCTCCTTTCTGTGGGGTCTCTCTACAGTATGGTCCTCTGAACCGGTTGGTATAAACTGAAAAGCAGAGTGACATCAAATCAAAATTAAGATACATTGAACTTGGCCAAGTGCTTTCTTTATCTAAATTTCAAAACTTTTCTGGAAAATTTTCGTAAATTCTTTAAAAAAAAAAAAATTAGATACTTCAGGAGAGAAACCTAGTCAAAAAAGGATCTTTTTTAATAAGAGCAGAATCTTGTTCATTTCTTCACAATATTGGAAAGCCCTTCAAGCCCTTATCCCAAACTTTTATATAAGAGCTTACTAAACAACTGTTTATACACCAATCAGGAGGACTACAACTAGCTAAAAGGGACATTAAACCTACCTTAGGACATGGCACATTAATGGTGGGATTAACTAGGTCGGGAAGATCTTCTTGCGATGGCGGAGGAACTTTCTTTTTCACACCAAAGTGGATTTCCTGGATGACATCATCATTGACGTCATACATATTCATTCCAGCTGAATCGTTCTCCTCTATCACGCGACGGCCTGCGAAGTCTAGCGTCACTTTCCTGTCCTTCCGTGATGCATGTCGCTGGGCCCTTAATTCTTCCTCTCTCTTCTTTAATTTTGACCTCTCTGCATTACTCAACCAGCGATTGTCCGTCGAGAAATAGTCCGACTCATCGTCTATAACTTGTGTTCTTCTGACACTGTTTGATAAAAAAAATTGTTGTAAACCGAAGTCTTTAAACAAAAAATCTCACTGCAGTGCCTGGTATTCCAATCTTTGAAATAAATCTTTATACTCGTTAAGTCATTACAAACAAGAGATGTTTGTAAAACACTTATGCCCCCCCCCCCCCAAAACTGGAATTTTTCTATGTCCAAAAGGGTATAACTCTGTGAGAAATTGCACGATTGTACCCAAAACAAAACTTGACCTAGATATTTGTCTGATATATCTGTAACAGTATACTAAATTTCATTTCAGTATGTGCAACCTCTGCGAAGAAAATGAACGGAAACTGCAAATAATACGAATTTTTCTAAGTCCAAAGGGCATAACTCTGTCAAAAATGGTGCAATCATATCCAAAATAAAATTTGACCTCGACATTCATCTGACATATCTGTATACCAAATTTCATTTCAGTATGTGCAATGGTTGTGAAGAAAATGAACGGAAACTAAGTGGACTGACAGACAGCAGCCAAGCAATTATGCCCTCCCTTCTTTCCATGTAAAATTTTACAATTTGAACAGAAAAACCTTGTTTTGTCAAACTCCAGTAATTTGTTTTTGTGTTGTATGGCTTTTTCATAGTCATCCCTGCTCTTGTCTTTCATCAGTCTCTCTCGTAACTGCTCGCTCTTCTTAGATCCACGAGCCAACACTTCCTGTTCTTCTTTTGTACAAACCTGACAAAATTTCTACATTTATTTCTCTCTAAACACTAAATACATTATTTTTCCTATGTATGCATGTATAAATTTAACCCTGGAATTTACTATTTAGCATTGGATTTTCTGGAATGTAACTTGGCTATATAAATGTATGTTTTGCTTTTTTCCCATGAAATAAGATCTCTTTAAATCTTAAATTCATTGGAAATTTTGCAAATAAAATTTTTAAAGTTCCCACACCCCACCATTGCTTACCAGCTTGCCGCAGAATAAACATGGACCAGACCCTTCCTGCTCACAAACAATTCGCCCACAATGGACACAGTTGGAGATAAGCTTATGTTTTGTGGCTTGACATTCACATGGGTGACGTCCTATACATAACAGAAGCACGAGTTTACATCATGAAGAACGTTCTGTATTTTGTGATGAACAATGCCTCTTTAAAAGAACATTGCAACACATTTATAAAATTTAGTTGGGTTGGGGTATTTTTCATGTTTAGTTTGAAAGCTAGGAAACCTCATGCCTACCTGCTAGTTTTATCACAGACTTAGCTTGTCCTTCCTGACTGAACAGTGGAATAAACTTTGTCTTCTTTGTCTCCTGCTGTGGCTAAGGATATAGTTAACATTTTTAAAATTATGAAGACTGCATGTGTACCAGTGTATTCTTAATTTTTGGCAAAACTTTATATCAACATAAAATCTAGCTTTTTTTTTTATCTTTTGATGACAATATTGTCAAATTTTATCATAACATAATTTATTTCACATGCAAACCTCAAAGCAAAAGTTCAGTTTGATGATTTTTGCTATATCATAAATCTATAACACACCTGTTCTGCCTTGGCAGGTTCGTTCTGTTTTCCTGTTGACTGACTGCTCTTTGAGGACTTGTTTGATTTTTTTCCACTGATATACACCTCCTCCTGATCAGATTTACGATAAACCTAGAAAAAAAAAATTTACATTAATTTATAATGTATATGTATATGGATGGTTTAACTTTACATCATTCTTTTAGTGTAGAACTCTATACAAATCCATTTAGTTATGGTGAAGAAAGTATTGACAATACAAAAAAGGGGGTACAAAAAAAAAATTAAAGAACAGCAAAATATGCAAAAAAAATAAGGGAATAAGTGTCTTTTCATAGTTATAAAGTTTGCGACTTTTATCATGGTTATTGTGAATGCTGATTTAACAGCGCAAACTAAGTTTTACAAGGGACATTTTTACTTCCAGTATAGTGCAATAGCTATTCAACATGCCTTTTACAAAACAGTAACCAGTTGCATTAGAATTTTAAATTGAGATTTTTTTTGTGTTTTTTTTTTAAATTTTTAAAAGAAATTTCTGCTTGTAAATGCATTTTTTTCATATACAAAACCAATGTCTATTTTTCTATCAAAAAATATCATAATCATGATTCGTTTTATTGTTTACTCAAAATTATTTTAGGCCAATGTCAGAAGTTTTTCAGCAGTAAATATAAACATAGCACTCACTGTGATGTTGTCTGGCTGTTTTTCCTGAGGTTTCCATTTCTGTATTAATTGACTGATGAAGGTCGTGACCCGGGGATCAGATCCATCTAACAGTTCCAGCATGTACGCCTGAATCTCTGTCGCATCCCCAATACTCAATATATACCTACAAGCAAACATTCTATAAATATACCGGGGTATGCATTTTTTTCTTTGTGGTTATTAAGTTATTTGAAATTCCTTAGTATTTTTCAAAAATACTTAAAATTAAATCAAACATTTAAGAGAAGTCTCTTTATTTTATAATTACAATGCAATATAATTTTTTTTTCTCATAAAAGTTTACAATTAATTCATGCTTTGCTTTCAAACCTACAAAAGGTAACTAACTTGTGGATGGGCCATAAAACTTGGACTTCTGGAAATTCCAGACCAAAAGCTCTAGGGCTATAAAACTTTGATGAGCTCACTTTTGATCTGTCTCGTTTTTACAAAAGGAATATATGGTGGAAAAGTGAGAATGAGATCAAAAGTAAGCTCATTTACACTTTATGACCTCGGGGCCAGGTTCACAGGAGGAGTAGGAGGATTGCATATGCCTTGCACACATTTTTAGTGGTTGGCATCATTAAAGAGGTGATATAATCATTTTTCAAAGGATGTACATATTTTTTAAATAGTTCATCAATACAGGTCCGATAGTTATGAGATTATTTTAAAAAAAAATATTGAAACAGTATAAATGACACATTTACAATATGAGACATGAATCATTATATTTATGGCATGTTAAGATTTAGTACTCTAGTTCTTATTGCCTCTTTTTCCATTCAGACAAGTAACATTACATTTGTAATTTTTTTTTACTTGATTTTTTTTTTACCATTACAACAATTTTTTAAACAACTTTCAAATTAAAATATTGTATTGATCACTGTTGATTAAAATTTAACTTTTAGTACTTTATAATTTATACTCATTGAGTTTCTTAACAATAACAAATTCTTTTGACACTTTAAAAAAAATATATATTTATTTGCCTTTGTTTTTCCTTTTCAGCTTTCTAACACATCAAGCAAACCGAAAACGCCCATTCTTTTCCTACTATTGAAGATCAAAAGTGAAAGTAATGAAAAAAAATACCTTCACTGTTGACATGTTTAGCCTTGAGATTAGAATATTTACTAATTTTATTTCTTTTTCTTCATGATAACAAATAAGATAGACGTATAATTAATGTATTCATTACTAATTCACTCATTTAAGGATCTGTTTTACTTTATTAGAAACTCAGTAATCTCATACAGCTGTCATATATGTATGTTTACATCCAATAAACCCAAAAGTTAATGAAGATGTGTTTGTTTACATATTGAAGCAATGGGTCTTGATTCAAAACAAATGTTCTTGATATCATTTTCACTGTCAAGCTCTTATTAATAAGATGCTGACTCAGCCAAGTGAAAACAGCTGGAGATTGCACAACAACATGTATCAATGTGTAATTTCCTGTCGTAACACACAATAATTTTAGTTCAAAGTGTATAAAAATTAAAGCATTGACAGTTTCTAATCTTCTTTCATACAACATACTTGGCATTATCCTCTGAAGCCGGCAAACCAAGCTTTGATAGTTCATCACACATCCATCGCTCCACTGAAGTCGCCATTTTAAGATTATAATGTATGAACCAAACTCGTCTTCATTTTTCCGGATATTGAATTTTATTACGTGATGCCAGGGACCTATATGGGAAAAGACCACTAATTATTTTCCCATAGAACTCCATACAAACCTTAGGCCCTCTCAGTACTTTACTATGACAATTTCAGAAAAATCTTTAGCATCATTTCAAACTTTGTTCTAAGCCCTAACAAAAAATACTGAAAAAAATATATGGTCCCATTGCGTTTATAGGTCAAAATTGCAGTTATTTTCAACTTATAGAGATTCGCAGTAAATAACACGCGACATAAAAAATCAACCCCCACTCCTAAAATCTTCCCTGGTATTTCCATAGTTTCTGTAATATTCCCTCGTCCTATCATTTATTTCAAAGGTCATTAATTTTACTTGAAAATGAAAACAATTAAATACCTGATTTCAGCCAATGGCGTAACGCCTACCCATTCAGTATTCTGTTTAATGTTCCATAACAAACAAAGCCATGTGTTCATCCGGGGATTTGGTGCTCTCATTCCTATATACTAACGGGATAGGCAACTACCGCAAATCTCGCGATATCTCGTAAGTCGCGGGATTTCGTAAGTCAACTTTAATTAACTATATTTCTAACGCTATCGCATATTTGAGATCAAATCCTTTAATTATCTGTCAAAAAATCATTCAAGATTTGTTTTAATCATGTATTATACTCCTTATTTAAGTAGTAATTTTGTTTTATGCAAAATCAGCACATGCCCCGATCGGCCATATTTCCGAGAAATCGCCGATTTCGGTCTTTGTTTTCTTTATATTTAAATTATATTATTATTATCATTTAAAATTTATTAATAAATCAATTCCAATACATAAAAGGAATAATTGATAATAATCAGAAAACACTCTGTTTACTGGGAATAAATGTTAATTGAAAAATTCGTAGTGTCTTGCGTGATGTTTTGGGTATAAAAACATGGCGATGAAGGAGTTGCCTATCCCTTTAGTATATAGGTCCCTGGTGATGCGTAAAAGGGTCAATATAAAAAAAGCAGCTATACGTGTCACTTCTTTGTAAAATCCTATTTCTTATTTTCTCGCTATTTTGGATTGTTGCTTTACAATGTATGACATCTATACTTTCTACTTACTAATAGAAATTTTCACATAATTAATTTCATTTAAGTCAATAGATGATTTTTATCACACCAATCAGCCAAATTCAGCTGTCAATGGAATTTTTCTCTTCAAATAAGGATAAATATGCCAAAAACTGTATGAATTTTTTTCAGAAAAATCATGTATGCATAAAGTAAATGTTAAATAGAATATATATTGGAATAAAAAAATATTAACCCCATCTTCCATTTAACTGATACAGCATTAAATATGACTGTACAAGAAATTTGTGTCACTGGTGTTACTACAGTGTATTTTTGTTTTTGCCACACAAGAGTTATCATTCCTGATAAGAGAATATAAACAGTCCTAAGTCATATTACATCACTTCTAACCAAAAACAACAGAAAAAGTTCTTTGATATTCATGATCAGAACATATTGCTGGACTTCAGAAGTAAAAAAGTACACTAGTATACAGACTTTTTTTGTCAGTGGTGTTTCCATCGTTATTTCAAAACAATTTTAGATATTCATTGAACTCTTTTACGTAAGATGTTCTTTAGGTGAACTGATAGCAATATGAACAAAACTTTTACTTTATCCAGGGTAGATAAGAGATACCAGATCATTTTATGACTAATACGTCATTGGTGTTACTGTCATTGGCATTACTTACCAGAGTTTAACACCAATGACAGGAATGGTTACACCATTGACAATACAAGTACTTTTGGAGGCAAAATATATTCTTCTTACTTAGAAAAGTTATTTATTTGTATTCTACTTTGCAAACCTAATTTATGGTGTTTGAAAGTATTCTGATTTATTTTCCAATAGATATTTTTTTCCCACTCACAGATTTTTCAAATATATGGTAATCCCAATGACAACTTCAGATCATATACATGTAACACCAATGACAAACATTTTTTTATGCTCAGAAAATATATTTTCCCTTCTGAAAAATTCACAGGCCAAGTATGAATGTCAGAGGTTATCACCTAAGTAAAGTAAAATTAGTTAAGTTAAACTTAGTTTGTTTAAATCTCTCTACAAATAGTTACCTTTTTATGGTAACACCAATGACTTGTGAAGTAACACCAGTGACAAGAGATTTTGATTTATACATTTTATCCACTAGTTCTTTAATGAAGAATATGGGATTTAAAACGTTATATCCGACACAGTTGAGATCCTTTTACCCTACCCACATTATTTTTTTTTCAAACCAATGATAAACCAATACTGTATTTCTTTCAGCTTTTACCATGCATTTATATACAATATACATGTGGGGCTTTATTGAAGAAAAGTATAAGAAAAAATTAACGTTTGCAACAGGGGGTTTTCTCCTTTATATTTTTTTTAAAGTTATCTACATATCTACATAAATCACATAGTCTTTAAATGATTAAATGACAGTACACCTCATGTAGCTCTGTATTATGCTATGGTCACAATGGGATAAGTCTCAGTCACTGGTGTTACCAGATTTCTTTTTGTTATAAGATCATTTTAAGTATGAAATCCCAGAAACTTATTTCATTTCTGTATGTTAGTCATGCAGTGTATTCTGTCTTTCACATAAAATTTCATGTTGTATTATGTTAAATTGCTAGTTTTTAAGTGCTAAGTCATTGGTATTGCTGATTTCGATCATTGGTGTTACGGTTGAGTCAGTGGAGTAACCAACCTAAAAGGTGTTATTTTTCCCTTTTAATAAGTTTAAATGTAAGAGATAACTTTATATTACCTAATTTTCTCATTGAAAAAAATCATTAACTATTTTATTTTGATTTATACACACATGGCACCACATTTACAGCATAGTAGCGTGTGTCTTTTTATTTTTGTCTCACGTCAATGTACAAATATGATTGAAAACTTAATTTTCATCACTGGACAATGAAACTTTTGGACTCATCAGTAAATTTGAATAATACTAGTAAATGTTTATCATAGCTTGCATTCATAAGTTTTTCACTTGATTCTATACAACAAAATTTTATAAGGTAACACCAATGACAGAAAAACACAGTTTGATAATATTTACGAGAACATTCTGGAAAAAAATAGCTTCCCTACTGTTTGCTAAATGTTGTTTTCCCAAAATATTGTGCAGCTTTATCAATTTAGATACAAAAAAGAAACGGAAATATTTAATTGAATTTTCACATGAACCATTTAGCTGCTTTTTTTTGTATTGACCCAATTTAAGCGTTTCGCTAGCCAAGGAGTGGCGGATGCAGGGATCTTGAAAAAAGGGGGAGGGGTAGGGGGCCCACAGCCAATCAAAAATGACTTATTAAAGAATCAAGTGCCTGTTATACAGTATATTACATGTGTATATCAATTTGTTTCAATGGTTTAATTCTAAGGGAAGAAGGGTGAGGGCATAAACGCATCTGCAGAAGTCGAAAGTGGAAAAATGGTTCTGAAAATTTAATAGATCACATATTCGCTAGCTATGAGTTCTGATACGCTACTCTCCTCATAGGAGTAGCATATCCAGGATTTTTTTCCGGGGGTGGGGTTTAAATGGTCCACCCCAATCAGAAGAAAAATTAAATTACCAGTACCTAGAAATTTCAAGGATTGACACGTAACAATGTAAACTTCTTTCTTAGACGTGAAGCATCTTTCTTTGTGGCATGGGATGGTGTTGCTTCCAACAACCCTTAATATCTCTGACTTCTCTTTCCGATCTCTCCAACTAAATACGGGTCCACGTTCTCGGAAAGGGGGGGGGGTTCAGAGTAAGACTCCTCTTTCTCTTACACGAACAATTCAGGGACGTAGCAACCGGGGGGGGGGGGGGGGGGGCTGGCCCCCCACTTTTTTTGCCAACAATACTTTTACTATTGAAAATGTTCATTGAAAGGCTGGTTGCCCCCCCCCCCCACTTTATACTAAAGTAAAAGGTATATGAAGGAAATATAGTATTGTAAGCTTTAAAAAATGGATATTGAAAGGAATTGGTAGAGAAAAAGTTTGCCTCTAACCCCCCCCCCCCCCCCCCCCCCCCCGCACGAAATAGGATTTTTTGACTTTGGGCAATTTTCTTTTTTTTTTCTTTTTTTTTTTTTTGCTTAATTTTTCAGGTAAGTAAATAAAAATTTCAGTGACTGCCCCCCCCCCACTTTTAAAATCGATGCTACGTGCCTGCAATTAACCTTTGGGGCACCTTGCTTGAAAACAACATGCCTTTCCAATATATGGAAGAAAATGTAACTGCTAGAGGGACAACGTCTAGCCAGGGACCTATGGAGTATATAGGTCCCTTGGTCTAGGACAGCTAGGTAAAGTACGTGCATGTCCAGAAAAAATGAAGCTTTTCTTAAATCAGAAATCAAGATGGCACAGACAGATGTGAAATTCTGCAAAAGAGTATGCGGAGTGAATGCAAATCAACCAATGAAATACAGAATGTACAGAGGTCAACACGGAATTGATTTGATTGAAAATCTTTGATGTACTTAAATTAGAAAAAGTATGTAAACTTTGTCGAGGAAAAAAGAGTCTATGAACACCTCAGAAATTTGCATCATTTTAGACACGTGTGGCTTTTCTCTATGGTTAACAGATTTAGGTCAGGACAAAAACTCTCTGTGAACTTCCTTCTTGATATACATAAATGTGCCAAAACCATAAGGAAATTGTTTGCTGCAAGTTAGCAGCAATGTTTTGCCGCAAGCTTGCAGCAATGTTTGTCGCAAGTTTGTAGCAATGTTTGCCACAAGCTTGCAGGAAGGTTACCATATTTGGAAAATCCAGTGTTTCATTTACATGGTAAAATGTTTGCTGCAAGCTTGCTGCATACTTGCCGCAAACTTGCTGCAAATTCTGAGGCTTTGTACGTAAACGGTATAGACTGTCACGCTTTCTTTAGCTACATTGCAGCAAGCTTGCGGCAATGTCTACAGCAAGTTTGCTGCAAAGTTAATTGCAGCAAATATTTGTAGGAAGGCAATATTTTTGGTAAGGGTGTCGAACATATTTATTTAGAAATGCAAAACAAACACATGTTCAAACTGCCTGAACTCAGCAGATCCTTGTCCCTCTGGATAATCTGAACGTCACAAATACCGGGGGGGGGGGGGTGTATAAGAAACACAGAGTAAACACTTGCAAAACAATTATGTACATGAACATCTTATATTTTATTATACATGTGATGTAACATGTGCAACTCAGAAACTTTCAGCGATTTGGCCTCGAAACCCCTAACAAGGGTTATTCCCTTAATTCACTGATGCCTAACAAGGCCCCTATTGATCTGTAATCCCCCCACACCCTTTGATTTCTTGATCCGTTACAGACATCTGCTTAATAAATATTATTTTTGTAAATAATTTTTCAAAGCAAAATATGCCCCCTAAATTGTAATCCCCCACCTTTTGAAATTTCTTTATCCATAACAGAAGTCTGCTATATTAAATTAAATTTTTATTTAAAAAAATTACAAGACCGTTGGTGAACTTTGCTAATTGAAAAACAAAACATGCATACTATTTTTTCATAGATTCAATTCCATCAAAACATATCGATAATTCCCACTAGATTTCAAACTTGGTACTTCTTATTTTTGTTAAGTTTTACAAATGTAATATTGACAGAAAGACTGATGATTATCTTTTCTTCCATCTTCATAATTACAATCTGCATTTATGTAAATATACTTAAGTTTGTATATTTGAATTACTCAGAATCTCGACAAAACTTGTACAAAGTATTCAACATTTATTTCAATTCTAGTTGATGTATAACATAGCACTACAAAATCTGTCGTTTTTTTCCCCATTTTAATTCAGTGAGTCTTTTCCATCACTTTATTCGAATATTGATTACACTATGTATTTCAATATAATAAATATAATGTGACTTTATTCTCCCAAGAATAAAAAATTAAAATGAATTGTAAGGAGATGAGAACAATATTCAACCACAAAAAATCTTTTAAACAATACAAATCATGAGCAGAGTAAACAAGGACCTCCAAGCATACGGGATCAGGTGCCATGGAAGAGTGAGCATCCCATGCTGACCGGTCACATCCGCCGTGTGCTCCTTGTAATGATCCAGATATAACGGAAAATCCATTGAAATTCAGTGTGCGAACAATTAGGCTAAGTATAAACAAGAGGCCAATGGGCCACATCGCTCACCTGAGCAATGTGGCTAGGAAAAGAGCAGAAATCATTTTATTATTGAAAAAGTTTAAACCGAATAGTGATCCCAATTAAAAATGTGGCTAGGAAAAAAAAAGGAGAAATCAGTTTATTATTGAAAAGTTTAACCCAATAGTGGTCCCAATTAATCCTTAAAAGGGAGAACTATTATTTGAACAAACTTGAATCTACACTGACTAAGGATGCTTGCATATTTCTTAGACTACCTGTGGCTTTATTGCCCTTTACATCTGAACTTACATCGTGGCCCCTCCCTACCCCCAGGGGTCATGACTTGAACAAAATTGAATCTACACTACCTGAGAATGCTTCTATATGAACAGGATTAATCATGGCTTTGCTATTCTTGAATATGTTTCTTGGAAAAAATTTGGATTCCATGTAGTGGACCCGCCCTAACCCCAGAAGTCATGATTTGAACAAAATTGAATGTCCGATACCTGAGGATGCTTCCATAAAAATATGATCATTCATGCCTTTGCTATAATTCTTGAGAAGAAGATTTATAAAGAATGTTTCTATATATTTCTAAGTAAAACTTTGATCGACCATTGTGGCCCCGCCCTACCCCCAGGGGTCATGATTTGAATAAATTTGAATTTACTCTACCTGAGGATGCTTCCCTATAAGTTTCATCTTTCCTGACACAGTTGTTCTTGAGAAGACTTTTAAAGAATTTTACTATATATTTCTATGTAAAACTTTGATCGGCCACAACGGACAAAGATCAGAAAAGCTCACTTGAGCCTTCGGCTCAGGTGAGCTTAAAATGCCAGTCAGCATTTGACTCAATGATAGATTTTAATTTACTGAAAATAGTCTTTCGGATAGGGTATACCGTGTTTATCAATAATTGTCAACTATAGATTAACAATATTTATTCATTTAGTCTTAAAACCCATTATAGTAAATGGTCTTACTGTAGGTATTTTATTTTCTTCACTTTTCTGTTTCTATATTCAGCAACAAACAGATTGTCATTTGTATCTGTACACAGTCCCCAGGGTTCACTCAGTCCACATTCTATGTAACGGAGGAACTGTCCATCCTGGTTTATGATGTGGACACAGTGATTGTAAATATCAGCTGTAAGGATGTGACTCTGACTGTCTGTGGTAATTCCTCGTGGATTGAATGGTTGGTTCTTCGGAGCTGAAGTACATCCAATGTACCTGAATCTCAGTTTCCCGGCCTGATTGACCACCACTACTGCTCCAGCCCCAATGTCGACCACGCAGATATCAAGATTCCTGTTCTCAATTAGGTATTTGCTATCAGGGCCACAGGAAAAGAGGGGATTTTTCTTATCATCAAACTGGATTGTTTGTTTTTCTGTGGATCCAGAGTAACGGACAACTTTTGATTGTTGGTAATCTTGACTGTCTATGATCACTAGAAGATCACCAGAGAATGTACTACAGATACCACGGGGAATCAAATCCCAGTCTAGTCTGAAAACCTCCTCTATCTTTCCATTCTTCACAATGTGTACAGTTTTATCCTTTTTATCTGTATAAACTAGATCTCCAGTGATTGTGACAACTATGTTTTCTGGTCTTTTTCCTGACTTGGTTTCGAATGACTTGAGTAGTGATCCCTGATTGATGCTGAAGAGTTTCATGGTGCTGTCATCTCCACTTGTCCAGATTACTTCATCACTCAGACAGGCCACATTGTAAAGTTCTCCATACCCAGTATCTATGGTGGTGACAGTCTCTGGCTGATCAAGCAGCTGTTTGACTGGAGGAGAGGATCCAGCTTCTGGTGAATTCCCAGGCGGACAACCTTTTGAATTTGTTGCTCCCATCGAACCAAAATTTGAATTTTCACGATCGAGTGGTTTCATGTGTAAATGTGTTTCAAGCTAATTACCTGTAATTATCAAACATGCATGTTGTTTAATTTCTTTACCCTAAAATTCTTATCATAAATATGTCTTTAATTAATTATTGTTTATGATTAATTAACCAAGCTCAATTTGACTCAATGAAAAATTGCACTAGTATCTGACAAGGTCTTTGTATCGGCTATAGAACTTACGAAATGATGACTTTAAACGATACTAGTACTGCTGATATTCTTGTTTCATCAACTTGTTTGTCAATAATTTACCTCGTTTTAGATATTGTTCATAAGTAGAGCATGTTTTTTCGTATCGAATCAACTGAGATAATAAACATCGTATGTAGGTGATGAAGGTTTATTGCTGCATAGGTTAATGTAAGGGTAGTTGACGATTGTAAAGTAACTTGGTTGATAGATAACCATTTACGTCTTTTTCAAGTAAAATATTCAAATATGAAACAGATGTGTCAGACTTTGTGGTATCTGGATATATCGCATCGACATATGGCATAAGAATGGAAATTACCATTGTTAATTGACAATACGTTGTCGATATACCTGGTACCGAGTATCTAAATGTCGAAATGAAGGCCACAGCAAGTGCTTTCTTCTTGTCACGTATAATATTTTGGACAAATTCTGCTTCATATGAATACAAAAATAGGTCTGCTAATAACGGGGCGCAAAAAAGCAAAAAAATATATAAATATATCGAATTTTAATTTCTTTTGTTAAGTTTAAATGTTTTGAAGGGATATATTAGATGTGATTTTTATAAATGAATGAATACCGGTATATAAATAATCAAATTAATTCAACAACAAGGAGATAAATAATTTGTTGATAACAAAGACTTGAAAGCTTTGATTTTTCTTTGAAACATCATTTTTGGACTTTTTAAAGAAGTTTAAACTCTTAAATTCAATATTAATCAAGTGCAAATTGAAAATAATGTTAATATTCAGGTAATATTTTCATTTAATATAATAAATATGCACATGTATATATTAACTGAAATATAAAAATAGAACAATCTAAAAATGAGATAACGAACAGAAATTAAGCTCAAAAGTCTATTAAACAATACAAAAATTGAGCAGAGCAAACAAGAACCCCCAAAACATCAAAGATGGGATTTGGTGCCATGGAGGAGTGAGCATCACCTGCCGAATAGTCACAACCCCTGTGTGCTCCTTGTCATGATCTGGGAAAAACGGAAGAATACGTCGTCATTTCAGTTTTTATAAAATTGCCTAACAATAAGTATGAAAAACGTCATGCAGTCAGCATTTGAATCAATGATAAATTGTATTTGTTGACAAAGTCATTGTATCGACCAGTTCTTAATTTAGCTGCAATAATGCAGCCCTCTCCTTTTTTGGGAGAGGGCTACAACTCCTTAGGATCTCCGTAATGATGCAAAGTGAATAAAAATTTCGTCTTATTAGAAGTAAGTTGAATGTAAAAACAATTTATTCTGCGTGCAGTCGCCCGTATTTAAAAAATATTTTTGCACCATTACGGAGATGCTATGGAATTGTAGCCCTCTTCAGAAAATATCAGATAAAAAAAAATCGGAGAGGGCTACGTTATTGCAGCTATTCTTAATTCATCGTCAATAATTTGCCTCGTTTTGCGAAATTATTCATACATAGAGCATGCTCTTGCGAATCGAATCAACTGAGAGATATAGCCCCGTGTGCAGGTGAAGGTATATTGCTGCATAAGTAAGTGAAGTTGACGATTGAAAAGTTAATTAAAAGTCATCACATTTATCATAAAACTTGGTTGTTAAATACCATTTACATCTTTTTGAAGTAAAATATCCAAATATAAAACAGTCAGACTCTGCGTTATCTTTTATTTTAAGCTCACAGGGATATATCGCAGTGACATAATATGGGAAAAAACAAATGTTAATTTACAATACGTCTTCGATATATCTAAGTGATGTGTTAAAGGCAACAACAAGTGTTTTTTTTTCTTTTTGCACATAATATTTTGGACAAAATCTGCTTTATATGATACAAAATATGTCTGCTAATAACGGGGCACAATTGGTACCCATGCGAATTCCAGATTGTTTGAAGACCTAGTCTAAAAACCACACAGATATTGTCAATCAGAAACAAAAGCATCTTTTTACCATCAATATCAGAGTACTTTTGTGTACAATCAGAACGGTTATTAACAAAATAATTTTGCAAATGAGCAATGACAAGGTAAGTAAATTTACGAGTTCTATTTTTATTAAAAAAGCAACTTTCAATGATATCAAAAAGCCTGGACTATAATTTGCCGTGAAGAGAGGTTGTATATAAAATTAAAAGTAGTAAGTTTAATTTTAAACGCTGTTGATTTCGGTTATGTTTTATGATTTCAAATTTTCCGAAGGTCCTTGGAATGTTTAAGTATCCATATATGTTTCAGAATACTTCTTGAATAGATTGTTGCACAGTACTTCAAAAGTTTCTCCTCCACTACTGTTAAAATTTTAGTGACAAAGTTAGTGAGGAATAAAGACAGAAGCTAATAGAACATTTAGTGGAACCCGCTTTGTATCATTGTTTGTAACCATATTTTTCTTTCCTCGTCACATTGACTCACATTGACAATTGTACAACTTTAAATAGAAATGGAAAACCGCGTTTGAAAACTTGCAGGAACTATATTTTTGGCGGAATGGTGGCGTATGAAAATATATTCTTTTCTGCCTCTCAAAATTATTTAGAACAATGAATTTAGTTATAATCTTTACAGAATCAAAAACTTGGAGAACTTTTCAAGTACATGTACAAGTTCAATTAAATATAAGGGACAAAAGTTCCTAAATATTTCAAATAAATATACTTTTTCAGACAAACTAGAACTATGTTAGCTTTTATAAGCTTCCAATCTATGTACACATTTGAGCCAAAAATCAGTAAAAAGTATTTTTTCTCTCTAAGTAAACGATCAACACTTTTTGTTTTTGTATCATTTTGTATCTTTATGTGACAAATTTATACCATATGTGAAAATGAGAAAAATTTAAATATAGGAAGCACATAAAGATAACTAATATATTCTAAAAATTTAAGAAAAGTAAAGAAAATTCAGATTAGCCAATATTCATTTTAAATGAATTAGTTATGTAAATTTGGTAATATCGTCTTATAGGCCCTTTATGGTAGTATTTTTTATGCAAAAATAAAAACATTCAATCTTTTGAAATACAAGAAGGGATCGCATAATTGGCAACAGTATTTATTATTATTATAATGTCCAGAAAAAAGGTAATGACCTTGACCTGACCTTGTCTCTAATATAAAACGGTCAAATTTAATTTCACTGATACCATGACTTAGTGATATTTTCTTCTTGATTCTGTGAACATTTCATTAATTTTTAAATACAATAAATATGAGAAGAATCATACTTTAAGATTTTCAGATGCTTTTGATATCCTCAAATACTGAGAAAGTGAATGAAAGATTTTTTTTTTCCAAAAAAGGGGGATGTTTGGTCAGTAGACCAAGTATTTCTTCTGTCAATGATGATTCTTATTGATGTTTAGGTCACCAGATCAAAGACCAAGGATAAAGGTCTTTTGGAAATAGGAAAACATTGTTCAATTTAAAAAAAAATGCTTGAGAGATATCAATCAATGTACGTCTACATATGTTCCCTGTAAATAAAATTGACCCTTTTATTTTGATGTAAAATGTTATTATAGAAATAACCTAGTCTTGTTTTTTTTTTTGAAACGTTTTCTGAATTCCATTGAATTAAGATGTAAGAAAGGCCTGTTGACAGAGTTGGTTGTACTGTTTATGTCCATGTGTATTTGTTTAGAACCAACGCAGTGTATTGTTTTTATTCCCTATTTCTAGTAATATCATGCGAATTTGCCGTTAAGGGGGCTGGGAGATCAACAAATTAACCATCAGATATAACTTCATTTTTCAGATATGATATCTTAAGCTGTCAACAATTATTTGACAAAATAAAATTCAAACATTTAAGATTAAACGTGTTAAAAATTTGGTCATTTTTGAATATATTCATATGGAGCTCTTCTTACAAAAGGAGATCGATATAGTTTAAAAATTGCCACAATCCCCAAGCCTTATTAAAGTATGTGCTATTGATATTGTGCTTATGATTTAAATAGCTTTATTTCTGAAAAACTAATTTTTCTTCCATAACTAATCTTCAACGCATGGATCAAATTTAAAGCCCTAGTCTTATATATACACTGTACATTATATACGTGTATGAGCTGTTCCTATAATTACAATTCACGTTGCACCGTTGTATCTGAAAAAAATTAACCTACATTAACTGAAGCAATATTTCAAAACGAATTTCTGAGCTGTAAATAGCAAATGATGAAGTTTGGACAGACTCAATGATCTTGTGTCAGATTAAAAAAATTATACAGAGATATTAAACGAAATAAGAAGATAACGAACAATAATCAGCCTCAAGTTCTGAAATAAACCAAACTGGAGGCAGAGGAAACACGCCCTAAAACACCGGGATCAGGTGCCAAGGGAGTAAACATCCCCTGTCAACCAGTCAATCCCGCCTTGTGTTCCCTGTCCTGATTGGTCAATCAGAAATCCCTTGACAATTCATTCAATTCATATTCTGTATGTTACATTCTTATTTTTTTATATGAAATTCAACTTTTCCATAAATGTAAATATAAAATGATCTAGAGTTAAATTTTTTTTAACAAAAGTCGAATTCTGAGCAAAATAAAAATAATTAAACACCTTAAATACCTGTCTTCAACATTAATGGTGACTGTCCTGTTTATCAAATGAAAATATGACTCGTCTCTATGCATTTAAATTATGTAACACAAGTTTACCTGTATCTGAGAGCTATCAGATATACAATGTTTTTCTTGGTAAAATATCATGTGTTTTATTATATTTATATATCAACTTGACAATGTATTCATGGATTCTCTTCACACACTCGAAAGAACACTTCGTTATAAATGTAGCTCCCCTATACTGAGTTATAGCTCAGTTTTTAAGTTGCGATGAAATTTCCATTTTGCTTTCACTTCAGTATTTTTAGATCAAGCCTGAACATTCGTAAATTATACACAATTGAAGGGAAAATAAACAAAATCTCTAGGAAAAATATAATATTGTGGCCATACGTGGATTCAAACAAGGGCTTTTGTAAATTGCAACACAAAATATAACTAGTAAGTTTAATCCTGTCCGTCCATCTTTCATTTGATAAACCTTCAGATTGCTTGGTGCTAAGGTTTTCATACTTCACAGGTGTATTTCTTGTAACACATGTTATTTCCTTGCATATATGCACATATTTGATCTTGACCGTAGAGTTTGACACACCTTTAAAAACTTTAACATTGGCTTTTAAACAATTAGAACTATGGCTTTCACATTTCAAAGGTATATTTTCCCTTGTAAAAAGACTTCATTTACATAATAATTTTTACCCTTTGTCCTCGGAGTTTTAAACCTTTTTTTATTTAACCTTGGATATATCTTTTTGAATAGTAAGCGCTAGAGCATTTCTATTTCTCATGCATATTTCTTGTGACAAGTCATTTCCCTGATAATCATTGATTTTGACTATGACCATTGAGTTTGACCCATGTTTGAAAAACTTTAACTTTATTCATAATTTTTGAACGGTTGGTCCCTGGGCTTTCACACTTTATAGGTCATGATATACCCTGTTCTTCGGATTTAAGTTGTACTGTATTTGAGAATCTCAAATCTTTGTCATAGGCTGCCATACGAGGGCATCGGTGTTTCACAAATACCTCTTGTTCTATTATTTTTTGGCTTAAATGTTTTCGCTGCGATTCATACGTCAAGTGACTACCTTAATTTTTTAATAATGTAGAGAAAAATTCTATACCCTAGGAAAAATAGAGAAAATGTGAATTAGAGGGAGGGAAAACTAAACTATAGTTAAAATCATCTACAAAATATTCTAAAGCCTTTTCAGGAGGAGGATTAGAGAGAAAAGCTACTTTTTACAAGAAAGGAACCAAGTGGAATGTTTTTATAGATAACTGAACATATATTTTTAAACATTCTTCGCTTATGTTGAAGAATGAAACATATATGTATGGAGATAACGAACAGTATTCAAAGTCAAAAGTCCATAAAACAATACAAAATAGGAGCAGACCAAATAGGACCTCCAAAGCATTAGAAATAGGATCAGGTGCCATGGAGGAGTGAGCATTCCCTGCTGACCGGTCACACCCGCCGTGTGTTGCTTGTCATGATCGGGAAATAACGGAAAAATCCGTCGTCAATTCAGTGTATAAATAATGGACTAATGATTAGTATGAAAAAAGCCAGTCAGCATTTGACTCAATGATAAATTGTATTTGCTGACAAGGTCATTGTATCGACCACAGAACTTACGAAATGATGACTTGAAACGAAATTGATGATATTCTTGTTTCATCAACTTGTTTTTCAATAATTTACCTCGTTTTAGAAATTGTTCATACCTAGAGCATGCTCTTGCGTATCAAATCATACTGAGATAAATGAACTCCGTATGCCGGTGATTAAGGTATATCGCTGCATAAGTAAGGGAAGTTGACGATTGAAAAGTTAAAGTCATCACGTTTATCATAGAGCTTGGTTGTTAGATTGCTATTGATGTCTTTTTCAATTAAAAGCCCAAAAATGATACGGATGTGCCAGAATCTGCAGTATCTTTTATCTCAAGCTCACCTTGATATATCGTATTTGCATAAGGATGGAAATTACCATTGTTAATTGACAATAAGTCGTTGATATATCTAAATGTGAAGTTGAAGGTCACAGCAAGTATTTTTTTCTTTTCATGTATAATATTTTGGAAAAAATTCTGCTTCATATGAATACAAAAATACTAATAGGTTTGCTAATAATGGGGGTGCAATTGGTACCCATGGGAATTCATATAGATTGTTTGAAGACCCTGTCTTCAAAAACCACATAGATATTGTCAGAAATTCAAGTATCCTTTTATGTCAACTTCAGAGTACTTGTTGTACAATCAGAATGTTTTTAACAAATAATTTTGCAAATGACCAATGACAGAGTAAATCAATTTACGAGTTCCATTTTTATTGAAAAAGTAGCTGTCAATGATATAAAAAAAATATCGTGGATAATAATTGTGTATAAAGTTGAAAAGTTGTAAGTTTCTAAGCTGTTGGTTTTGATAAAAACTGTGTGATTTCAAATTGTCCAAAAGATCTCTTACAAACGAAAACAATGTTGTTAACTGCTTTGTCAGCAGGGACCAGTACATACTGATCATGCAATCTATCTAATTCTTTTTTCACTTCTGGATTGTTGAATGCAGAAAGAAAGATAGTTTTCATAATGTCCCTAAATCTTTTACTATTAATACGCGATCGTAACATAGATCTGATACAATTAATCCAATCTGACAAAGTGCCAGCGTCGTCTTTTTCATATCTGACCCATCGCCTAGCGTACTCTTCTGCAGAGTCCAAAATATTTATGAGATTCCGACGCCAGTTGAAGGATCGGGGTTCCCTATATTTAGGACCTTTTGATATGGTTTAAAAATTTATTACGGACATTAGTGCCTGTTAAGAAAAATTAAATCATTTTAAATTCATACGTGTATAGTATATGAAGCAATTCTATATCAGTGATAAAAGACACAATCACAACATAACTGTTTTCAAAGCTGAAACATTTTTTACTGCTTGTAATTAAACACATTTTTATCATAAACTCTCTCAGGAATTATTTAAGCTGATTCTTGTACATTACAAAGACGCAATTCAAATAAACTACTTTCTCTATTTATAAAACTTGTATATTAGCAATTTAAAGACGTAGATATATAAATCCAATAACATTTGTAATGATTACATTTAAACTCAGTTTCTGTATCCCATTATGCCTTTGCGACATTTCGTATTCTTTCCAGTGTTGCTTCAATTCAGACAAAGACATCAGAATGCATCATAAATTAATTTAAGTTTTTATTTCTGATTTTCATGGAAGTCTGTTTTAGGGCTTCTAAGCTAGTTTTCCAAAGAATACATACCAAGTATTTGCCTGAAATTTTCGGTAATATATAAAATCAAAGTTTGTTTTAAGATTGTTTTAAGGTAAAAATAAAAAAGTGATTTGCTCACGAAATATTTTCTTTTACCTTTATCACAATAACATTCCTAAATCACATTTACTGAAGTTAATTTTTTTAAGAGGGACAACTGTTTTGTCTAAATCAATTTGTTATGTCGAAAATGTAATTGTCTAAAGCTGACTCTGAACTACAATTTCACTGGTACATTTCAATTCTTTATGAAATCTGCTTTATGTCTGTTTAATTGAAAACAAACTTGTTACGGAAATTAATTGATTCTTAGCGACATGCTGAGATTTCGTATGAAAGAAGATCCATACATTTCTTTGCGAGAAGTGGTTTGTTTTCTTTTTATACGTATAGGGAAAAAACTTTAACGTCCACTATCTACTCG